GACTAAGCTGAAAAGAAAATTAATGCCTGCTGTGTGCAACTTGAATGTTGATGATATTTGTTAGCTCTTTGCTGTCAGGTAAAAAAGTTGAAAGCAAATGTGTCATGGCAAATGTGATCTGTGCCAGGTCAAAGGTTATAATTTTTCGGCCCTGTGCAAATGTTCTGTCCTCAGGCTCAGACTTGTCATTGGTGACAAAATCAACACCCACACAGTGCTCTGAATTTCAACAGCCAACAATGCGGCTGCCGCAACCACATCAAGACGAGAAGAAATGAGCCCTGAAATTTCTGTCATAAATTGCAAAAACATTTTTAGAGGAGGAGGAGGAGACAAAAAAAAAAATTGTTGTTGGGAAAGCAGTTCTTAGCTCGATGGGTGCTTGTGGTCTAACCTGGATTTACAGCCATTTGCGGAGGCTGTGCACAGCTTTTGTGAAGCAGGGAAAGATGGTCACTTGCTTATCAAAGCCTCCTTCATATGCAGGCTTCATTGTACATGACTCGCAACTGAATTTACTCTGGCCTTGAATTTTGACCTCTTTCATCGCAAAGAAAATTTTTATTTCTTTCATGTCTTCATGACTTCGTGGGCTTGTTGATTTTCATAGGCAGATGGTAAAATGGGAAAATTCCTGCACTTTTGTGACTTGCAAATGTTTATTAAATAGCAAGGCTTCAGTCCAAGACCTTCTTCAGGTACTTTGAAAGTGTGAAAGGACTCACATGCCATCAGCGATAAACATTGAAAGGCTTTTGTGCGCATTGCTTAAGAAAATATTGACAGAGTGCTTTAGTGCCGAGAGGAAGGGAAGACAATGATCAATAAAGACTCACTTCACAGCCTTATCCAGAGGAGCAAAGATCATGCAAGAGGCCATTTGAATATATTTAATACAGTCTTTACTGGGGCATCAGTTATTTCAAACCTGGTCCCAAATGGCGCATAGAAGCCTCGTGTTTTTGAAAAGTCATTGATCATTTTATGACATGGAAATCTTCTCTAGTTCATTTCTTCTGTTCAGATTGTAGAGAACAGACACAATGGAAAACATGAACTCGCCAAAGAACCCTCTTATGGTGGAAACTGTAGTTAAATTTCTAATTAAAATCAATTCTGTCACAGTTCTTTCTGTTTAAAGGGATAGTCCACACAAAAATAACAGTTTGCTGTCCATTTCCTCAAATTATTCAAAATGTAGGTGACTTTTTTGACATGATTTTCACAATTGGTAAATTACCGTCATTTTCACACTGCATGACTATCTGGGGTAGCATTCATTTTCTGCTGTGTTCATATTTCGCAATGAATTGTCGACAGCTTACACACTGCATGACTTTACTATGAGAAGAATTGCAGAGAACTCTGTCTGGCTGGCAAACTTTGTAAAATATATCCGTAAATTAGTGGATATAACTTTCTTTCAACAACTTTTAGCCATAAAAAGTTTGAAAAAGTGAGTTTTATTTACATTTTTAATAGTTTAAAGTGATATATTGTTTGGGTTGGTGTTATATATAATGATACAAATACCTCTTAATGAACTGCCAGTACATTTTCTGTTATTTTACAGACTTTTTTCTCTATATATTATTTCTTATACAGTATATAATTATTTCAAACTAAAAAAAATGTTAATACAAGTGACTTTGTTAAACCGTAGAGTTGGAATTTCAGCATCAAAAGTCAACAGAGCAGAGATCAAGGTCCCATAATGTAATTCACAACCGTAAATAAACAGAAAAAAATTAACAATGTGAACTACGCGTTACAGAATACACTGAGGTCTTATAAAGTGATATGACTGATCTATAGAAGAAACTGCAGTATAGCATATGTAGCTGTAACAGTTGAAACTGGACAACAATGTTGAGGATTCATGTGCAGTTTTATTAGGAGAAGTTGCGCAGGCTATCATCAAAAACAGGAGCAAATGGTAGCATAAAGATAATTTGAAATATGTGGTCAAAATACAGGTAAACATTCTAGGTGGCAAAGAATCAAAATGTTAAAAAAAAATCTAAGAAACAAGGCAAGACAAACAAGGAAAACCTCTGTAATGTTACAAGGGGTCGAACAAGACTCAGCAATGTGTGTGTAAATGAGAGGTGTCTTTATAGACTTATAGTCCAGGTAATGAATCAACGATAAACTTCAGCTGTGTGCCCATGTTTGTTTGTCATCAAAAGAAATCAGGAACTGGTGTGTGTTAGGTGCATGATTGGAGTTGTAGTTCGGTTCAGTAAGCGAATTGTAGCTTTTTTTTGCGAGTTGCAACTGTTCAATTGTTGGTGATCATAACAAGAGCATGGTTACCTAATCTACAGCCAAAATTTTTTTGATGTGCCTGACAGTTACTATTATTTGAAGTGATTTTCATTTTAATTTATGGTACATCATGGTGATTATATAAACAATCAGATGAATTTAAAACAGTTTGAAACTAAGTATCTTTGCTGTAAACGGTTAGATGAATCAGTTATTTAAAACAGAAGGAAACCGTCTGAAAGAATTAGTTTGCTGAAGAGAATCTAATTTCCCCATTTGCCTGAGGCTATGGATTACATTTAATAAGGATGTAAATAATGTTCCGTTTAATGCACAGACCGATAGCTTTGCGTCATTATACCTTAGTGTCATCATCAAGAGCTTTGGGTATTCATTTTGTTGTATAAGTAAACCCAACCCCAATTGGCAATGGTACGCATATAAATTTCTTTTTGCCTCAAGGTCTGATTGGATGGGGTCATTCATCCATGTGTAAGGTGATGACTTGGACACAGGACAGGCAGCAGCATTCAATTATGTTAAATTAAAGATTAAGTGGAAAAAAACTTTTTATAGGCAAAAAAGCCTTGGAAATTAGTTTAAGTAAATTTGTTCTTTTAAAATTTAAATATAGGGTCCCACTTTATATTGTGCCGCTTATTTCTGTGAACTTACATGTTAACTAGATGTGTAAGTAGTATCTACAGTAGTAACTACAGTGTATGTACACATTGGTACATAGTATTTACTTGTGTAATACTGGTGTAATTACACACATGTAACAACACACTGAATAGTATGAGTAAGTTCAAATGTATAACAGGACATTGGTAACAACACTAAAAAAGTACACATCTGTAACAAGAATTAAATAAGTGCATTATATAACAACAATATGTGCAGGTGTTTTCCCACTTACATTTACATTTACATTTAGTCATTTAGCAGACGCTTTTATCCAAAGCGACTTACAAATGAGGACATGGAAGCAATTTACACAACTATAAGAGCAACAATGAATAAGTACTAAAGGCAAGTTTCAGGTCTGTAAAGTCTAAGAAGGGAAGTGTTAGTTTTTTTTTTTTTTTTTTTTTTTTTTTTGTACAGTTAGTTAGTGTGATATTCAAAGAGGCATTTGCAGATTAGGAAGTGAAGTGGAGACTTCCCACTGTAATAGAATAAGAATGGCAGAACTAACGCTGCATTAGGTTTCACCTTGTGATATCAGTGTAATTACAGGGTATATCCCCAGGAACTGTCCACTCAATATAAAGTGTAAAATGGTTATAAATTACTGTGTAATTTATAAAACCTAAGCTTTTGTGCAACTGTTTAACAGCAAACTTCTATCAAAAAAGTATAAGTGTGTATAGAAATATGTCTATGTTTATATGTTGTTTTAGGGTAAATTGTAGAATCAGTAATTCACATTAAAGGAGTAGTTTATCAAAGATTGTGTTGTTACTGTCCTGTTACACATTTGAACTTACACATACTATTCAGTGTGTTGTTACATGTGTAAAGTGACACCAGTATTACCCAAGTAAATACTATGTACCAGAGTGTACATACACTGTAGTTACATGCTACTTACACAGTTACCGTGTAAGTTCACAAGTATAAGCGACACGTAATATAAGGTGGGACCAATATATATTTATAAAATCCAGTCCACCAAAACTTATTTTAATTGTTTGGTTATTGAATGTTTTGGTCATTCTGAATCAATATTGGCATTTATTTATTTACTTTAAATATTTACAGGAATTTTAAAATATTCAGCACCGTCAGTTTGTTTCAGAATCACTTCTAACACTCAACGACAAAACACTTTCTATTGAAAAAACTGAGTGGCTAGTAACTTTATTAAACAATTAGCCACATGCTAAAAGTTATTGGCAAGCCCTAAGTATAACCAGACATTTCAGTTGTTCAGTGTATTTTAATCTGACTAAGCAATCGTCAGATCGAAATGTCAGTTAATATGATTTTCTTTTTAAACACATTTGATCAGGTGAGAAACTCTTAGAAGGAAGCATTTCTCCAACATGTGATGTACAATTGTTTATTTTTAAATAACTCCATGTATAACTTGCAGTTACATGTTTTATACAGAAATGGAAAAAGAGAGGCTAAAGTCTAGCACATCATCTTTAAGTGGCCTAGAAAAAGTCACAGCATGAATCAGACTTTTGCAAGACTGTGTAAAAGTCCAAATGAATTGAGTGTCCAGTTATAAAAATATGATGAAGAATCTGTGCTAGTCTCAGAGGTAGAGATGGTTTGCTTCTATTGTGACCATTAGGCCAAATGTGAGTCTAATCTATCATCTTAGGCAGCTAATGATCGTCTCCATGCATCCCAGCAGGCCCACTTTGGCTAGGGAAATGGACAGTGCTCGTGGTTCGGGTTTATTTGTCATCTTCGCCATGTCCCTTTCCCACAGAAAAGGTCGGCTGCGGTCTGGAGGATGTGGAGAGAGGACATGCATTGGGGACAGCCCCTCAGAGGCCATATTAAACTGAAGGAAAGAAAGACAGATGGAGTTTGTTAAGATAATAAGTCTTCTCGAAATAAGCGGGAGTCGCCATAATGCAATATTCAAACTCCCCACAGACCTCAGTCTCAGGCTAATGATAACTTTAGAGCTGCTTCAGATGGTCAGTTAAATAAGTGTGTTCTGGCTGTTTTAATTGTGTGAGTAATCACTTATAAATTTCTCTCCCTTTCAGCTTTTGTGTTGAGTTGCAACTTCCCTGATAGACCAGCATATGGGGATGTTTCAGTCAGCAGCCTGCATGCAGAAGGAGAGGCCTATTTCTACTGCTTTAATGGATATCAGATCCAGGGTCCGTCCACACTGACGTGCCGCAACGCCACCATACCATACTGGAGCGGCAAAGTGCCACGCTGTCTTGGTGAGTGAAAAACATTATGACGAATTTCGTTTCTTGGGTTAATGAACATTCTGGGATTTTATTTTATTTTATTTTATTTTATTTTATTTTATTTTATTTTATTTTACTTTATTTTATTTTATTCTATTTTATTTTATTTTATTTTATTATTTTATTATATTTATTATTTAAATTATTTATTTATTTATTTTAAATAATTTTTACTTTTTATTTATAATTTTTTTATTAACTTTGTTTTACTTAATAACATTCTATTTTATTTATTAACTTGCTATTGTCAAATAGGCCAGGTAATAAACAATGTATATCATTGTTCATAGTCAATAGACTTAAATATAGAACAATAATTATTATAATGCTAGTGTGGCAAAAGAATGTGTTAATTTTACATTACATATATTTTTTATTATCTGGTTAATTGTACAAACTTCCATTAATTTATTAATTACTTGCTTACATAACTGACTTAAACAAAAAATAGTACTACAGTAAGCCAGGCATTATTAATGTGTGGCAGAATCACATGCTATCCTTATCTTTTAATAGTTTTATCCATTTGTTGTTATAAAAACCTTTTAATTCTAGTAATTTTAAGCCATTAACTAATGTGTCTGCTCAAAGACAAGAACCCTACCTTTAAAATATCAAATAGAATCAGAACCAAGTACTTCCACTGCAAAATGACAACATAGACAATTGTGCAGCAGAAATAATACCTGTTTTATAAAGAATTAAAGTAAAAAAAACATTAGGTCCATATTTTAACGATGAGTGCATCATTCACCTCCATTAAGCACCTTTTGCAAACCGAGATTTTTGCTTTTATTTCAACCAACACTAAACATATCTGAACTGCTAATTGATGTTATTCCCCAAATGTGGTCCATCAAGCTTCACTTGTGAACCCGAATAATTCCTTTAACCTGATAGTAATGGATCTGTGCTGTTGAAACAATAGGTGCACATTGCTTCCAGATGGCGGTAAACAAAGAAGAAACTAACCAACATGTCACAGGTGCCCTTTCACCAGCTAGCCTTTTAATTGCAGGCTACTCCAAAGGGACCATCCCTGTATTGAGCACACTATAACAAAAGCACCAGCTAAATGACAGCTAATTACCAAAATCTGCAGTATTTGATCTCTGCCCCTGAGAAATTCAATTATGAAGCAGTAGCACTAGTCAGCACAGCCGATATCTTTACAAGTGCAGGAAATCTATGAAACACCAGGCTCTGCTTTTAATGAAGTTTATTCAGTTTGCATGTAGATGCGGCAAATGTACGGTTTTTACCTGCCAATCATAAACACAGCCTTGCTGATTTGCATCATTGTGAAGCCGCCCTAGAGTCGCTCACTAGCAATTATCCTTCGCTTTCCTTTTTTCTTCGTCTCACTGTAAACATACACCCACAAGTCATTGAGTCATTCAGATGCACAAACGATAGTTTCTGCGCAAAGAAACAAACCTCACGCCTGTGTAAATATTTAGTCCACGCAGGTGTGATTTAACTTGACAGAGGAGAAACTCCCGGTGCGGTTGCTCCCTCCTCCTTTAAAGTTAATTGGAGCTTGATCATTGATTTTGGCTGCAGTGGTGGGAACAGAAGTGTTTGCGCTACAAGGCAGTGAATATTAACAAGCGTACCCCCTCAAGGCAGCCCGGTGTGACAGTGTGATTGACAGCCTTGCCTCCTCTGCATAAATAAGGACTTTCTGCGCCTCGATCTCTTCGGAGAGCCGAATCCCAGAGCTGAAGAACTCTTCCCTCCTGCATGACAAACAGAACAACATCTCCGATCGCAAACAAGGCTGAGCTCCCTGAAGGAGGGCTGTTTTGATGAAGGATCTCATTTAGTGTTTTGGAGGCGCGAGTCGTGAGGTGGTTTAGTTAGCCTGGGGCTGGCAGACGCGGCCTACAGGACCTGGGGTTTCTCATTCTCGCCATTGATTCTGAGTGAAATCGCATAAACGTGCCGTTTTAGAAGTGTGCCCCTGCCATGCTGATGCAGGCCTGAGTCGGACTGTCAGAGTCTGATTACTGATCAGCATGGGCAGGCTGCCAGGGAGCAGGGCTTTGGGTCCACTTTAATTATGTTCTGTCCGCCTGACTAACCTTCAGCCGTCAAGCTTAGAAGGTTTTCTCCTCCTCCTTGGATGAAAAAGACGAGCTCTGTCTTGTTTGTTGCCTTCAATAAAAACTGTTTACTAATGCTGTCCTTCTCTGTTTAAATCCTTCAGTCAATTATGTGGTACTCTTCTGCATCTATTCATTTTAGAATGACTTCACTGCTTTCTTATGTTGTTTTGAGCTTCTGGATTAAAACTAAGAAGTTTGGCCCTGTTTACTCAAGGTATTTAAGGGATGAATTACCCAAAAATTTGAATTCTGTCATCATTTACTCAGCCTTGACTTGTTCTGTTGAACACAAAAGGGGCGACACGGTGGCTCAGTGTTTAGCACTGTCACCTCAGAGCAAGAAGGTCGCTGATTCGAGTCCAGGCCGGGTCAGTTGGCATTTTTGTGTGGAGTTGGCATGTTCTTCCTGTGTTCACATGGGTTTCCTCTAGGTGCTCTGGTTTTCCCCACAGTCCAAAGACAAACCGTATAGGTGAATTGTATAAATTGTCCTTAGTGTATGAGTGTCAATGAGTGTGTATAGATGTTTCCCAGTATTGGGTTGCAGCTGAAAGGGCATCCGCTGTGTAAAACTTATGCTGAATAAGTTGGCGGCTCATTCCGCTGTGGCAACCCCTGATGAATAAAGGGACAGCCCCCCCCCCCCCCCCCCAAAAAAAAAGTATAAAATGAATTAAGTACTATAGAGCTGTGAAACATAAACTTTTAGAGCTGACAACCAAAGAATGCTAATGAAAGCCACTGTCCCTCATGGTTAAATTGTGAATTTTGCGATATGTACATTCCAGAAAGAAACATTAGGACTACATTTGAGACATTAAAGGACTTTGGAAGAAAATGTTGTTTTTTTACTTAGAATCTAGGCACAGAAATCCCATATTGTCTGGCTAGACACAGTATTCAGTTAAGCACAGACGTTGCAACCATTTTAAAAGTATCCATATAATGTAAATATGTGTAGAATGAAGAAATACTTTTTACTTCATTTCCCATGTCATTGCTCTTTTTTACCTCATGGAATGAAATGTCAGAATATTGGTGAAAGTAGTAGGACATCAGGGTACTTTTTTGCCTACTTTTTATGAATATTGCAAATTTAGACATGCAGCCTATTTTACAAACAAATTGATATGTCTAAAGGTGCCCTAGAACCATAACACTGTGCCCTCACGTACCATGTATTTTTATTATTATTGCTACACACTTGTTTCTAGTCTCTACAGTCGTGCGGTATGAAAGAGTTCTGTTATCCACACCTCAAAGCTCACTCTGAGGGTTTCTTCGACCTCCAGCTTTTCCTTTTCTTCTCAATGTCATCTGCTTCCTTTCATTTGTGCTTTGAACAGTGGCCTGCGGTGGAATGGTGAAGAATGCGACTCTCGGCCGCATTGTGTCTCCTGGTTTTCCAGGCAACTACAGCAACAACCTAACCTGCCACTGGGTGCTGCAAGCCCCTGAAGGCCACCGGCTGCATGTGCACTTCGAGAAGGTGGCCCTCGCTGAAGACGACGACAGGTCAGTCCCAGTCAGCTATTCTTCACTAATTAGTCATATGATGCTCTATAAAGTCAGTCAGAGTGTCTGTTCACAGTGCAGTCATACTCCAAATGTGGCGTTGCTCTTCAGGGCGTTATATGATACAGCAAGAGCAAGGCATGATAGGAAGAACTGCGACTGCAAGAGTGAAAGTGGATGAAAGTTTCTGAGATCAGACACTTGCTCTCCTTTAAAATAATTTAGAATAATCAAACCCCCTCATGCAGGCGTGGAGAGAGTGATTAGAGCCCACTCCGGGGCCTCAGGAGGGGGATTAAGTTATTTTTATTAGCAGTATCCGCTTTTTTCTGCAGGCTTTGCTAACAAATGGACTTTTAATGAGGTCACTTGCTGCTCAGCTATTCAAAATCATATCAGGCGATTATTATGCAAACTGCCAAAAGACAGTACTAGAAATCGGAGGAACGTTACGTCTGCTGCCAAACAGATTTGCTGTTTTAAAGGAGCTCAACTCTTCTGTTCTGTTGACGCTTGCAGGTTTTTGATCAAAAACGGCAACCATATTGACTCACCCATCGTGTATGACTCGTATGAGGTGGAATACCTTCCTAATGAGGGAGTCGCTAGTTCCTCCAGACATCTCTTTGTGGAGTTCACTACAGATGGTTTCGGCACCAACACAGGAATGGCCATCCGATATGAAGGTAAGAACCAATAAAACAGGTGCAGGCAATTCAGGGCTTGAAAGGACTGGATTCTCCCGTACCAAACGCAATCAGACATACAGTTTATGTGGGTCCTTGTAGATTTGAAATACTCAACTGATTCAGGCCAAAAAATGAGTCATGAATGGATACTGTGTGATTTAAAAAAAACAAAACAACCGAGCCAGATTTACTAACAGCTTGTTCCAGCGCAAACTGTCTTTTTGGCGTTAAAACAGTGCTGTCGGTATTTACTACACATGCAGAGAAGAAAAGCACTGAAAAGGCTTAAAACACAGCTATTTTTGCACCTGAATTTTCAAAAACAAAAACAGTTGTCACAATGTACATCTGTTGGATTATCTCACTTAAATACAGGTTTATTGTAGTCATTGTAAAAAGGTTTGTGAGATTTTCACAGTATGTCTGATAATGTTTTTTCTTCTGGAGAAAGTCTTATTTGTTTTATTTTGGTTAGAATAAAAGCAAATTTAAAAAAAAAAACATTTTAAGGTCAAAATTATTAGCCCCTTTAGGCTATAATTTTTTCGATAGTACAAAACAAACCATCGTTATACAATAACTTGCCTAATTACCCTAACCTGCCTAGTTAACCTAATTAACCTAGATGAGCCCTTAAATGTCTCTTTAAGCTGTAAAGAAGTCTTGATAAATATCTAGTAAAATATTATTTACTGGCATCATGGCAAATGTAAAATAAATTAGTTACTAGAAATGAGTTATTAAAACTATTTTTTTTAGAAATATGTTGAAAAAATCTCTCTGTTAAACAGAAATTGGGGGGGTGGGGGGGAATAAACAGTGGAGCTAATAATTCAGCTAGTTAACAATTCTGATTTAAACTGTATATGTCTAAATGCTTATCTGTTATTCATATTCTTTAGCCAATCCCGATCATCCCTCCCAATCATCCCCATCCACTGAATTGGCTCTATCACCAATAGCTGGTGTGTGGTGAGCTCACTAGTGCCTTTGTCTTGTGGCTGCCCTCGCATCATCCCAAGTGGATGGTGCACACTGGTGGGGATGTGGAGAGACCCCTAACTCTCCTCATTGGGAAGCGCTATGGGTGTATATCCATACACAATAAAAACACTATATAAATACACATTACATTACATTACAACGAATAAACAGGGCTAAATAAAATCAATCTTTTTTTTCAATATGTGCACCATAGCTGCTCTTACTAATTAATTGCATTTTTTAAGTAGGCTAACTTATCAATAAAGGCATATAAAATACATTGAATGTTGATTTTCTTAGCACCTCCACATACTTTTCTGCCCCCCAAAAAAACTTGCACATTACCTTGTCATAACAGATCATCCACACCTTAAGAGCATTAAGCTTTGCTAATTTGCAACTACACTAGTTTGCATTGCATTTATTGCATTGGTGGATATGTAAATACGATGTTACTTAATTGTACTTTATTTTGTAAATCATTTACAGAAATTTTGACACCATCGATGCTGTTTTGTAATGCAAATTTGTACTATTTTGTCAATTTGGTTCATATTATATGCATTTTCTTGAATATGCAATGCAAATGCAAACAGAAGCATCAAGATCATTTTACTTCAGAAACTAGGTTCAAGTCGTACACACTTCCTATTGATTAGATTATTTCAGATCTACACCACCCTAATCAATCCAATCAGTTGGATTAACTGAGATACTTAAATGAAGGCTTTTACAGTCCACTTGAGCCATCAATATAATTGTAAATAGATTATTTCTTGCCAACATCATTGCAAAAAGCAAGCCTATTACAAGTGTTCCTCACTTCTCTCAGATCCAAGTAAAATAGCATGCTGCTTCTCCAAATCCATTTTATTGCATTATTTCTTTTTCTCAGTTCAGTTTAGGGGACATTTAGTGTAGATCATATGTTTTTAATTTATTTACTAATGAGATAGTATTTACATTTCACTTATTAGCCATTTGATTTCTGAACTACTATTAAATAATGAATTAATTCCTTACATTTATATAACGCTTTTCTGGACACTCAAAGCGTGACGGCAGCCATATTGCGCCAGTCCGCACACCACACACCAGCTTATTGGTGGAGAGGAGAGAAGGTGATTATTTGAAAAATGGCGCTCACTGAGCAGGATAGAGTCCCCTTCACTATACTTTTGCAGTGCATATACCATGGTTCGATTTAATAGAGTATAAATTTAATTCAGTTTTTAGTCACTCTACAGCATTGTTCACAGGACATCGTAATAATGAGAACTTGATAGGAGCTAGCATTTTTTTTCTCATCTATCCTTCACCGGTTTGTCTGTGAGCCGGGCCTTACATGGCGGTGGTTAACGAGTTCAATGGTTGTTTGAAGAACACATGTCCTCTACAGAGCCTCAGGGCTGTGCCAGAGACAAAGACCATACCTTCCGGCACATTCCCCTTGTTGCTTCAATTCACACCAAAGATCCCCTCTCCCATGTGCCTTGCTAAACACTCCTTAGATTCCTGGCTCAAATGAGATTTATTCAGATTAAATCAAATGGAAATCGAATGAGGCAGGCAAATGCAACTCGACAAGGTCATTAAAATGAGTTTTAACTGGAAACAGAAAGCGCAGAAATTGCATGCCTATTCCCTCTGACAGGTCAGGCGAACGTTTGTTCACAGGGATGTCATGCGCACCTCTCAGGACCTCGCAGTCATTATCCGGCGAGATCAATCTAATCTCATTTACCATGTCGCAATCCGATTATGCTATCTACAATATACTAATGTGCCTTCACGGCAACCTGTGACAATTCAGCTTGTCTTCGCACGCTCAGGATGCCTCTCTGAATTTCACACCAGGCAGAGTGCTCAGGATTTAATAGTCTTTCTGATTGAAGTGCTGCTCTCCTTTTTCTGTCATCATAAACAAATTGGATCTGTTTTTATCAATTTCAGTAGACTAGAAAAAGCTTTGATCTGGATCTCTGTGTATCGAATGGCCACACACAAAGTACTTGTTCAGTATCTGAAGGCCATTTAAACCAGACTAATTAAGATTTATGTAATTACTGCACTTCAATGCAACATTTATATTTGCTGAAAGTATCATAGTGTTTATCATAGTTTTCTGGGATGTTAGCCAACAAACTTCCTCACAAATCTCTCATTTAAAATTTATATTTTCTATTTGAGGCTTACAATAGTATATTTGTGCATATATACAAAGACTATAGAATACACAAGACATGTCACTCGTATAGTTTTAAAAGGGGAAAAGGGTCAATATGGCAAATGAAGCCCGTCCTACTAGTACAAGAGCCAATTATCGATAATTTGTGACACGGCCATAAATTAAGTTGTTGTCGTAATCTCGTTCCTTTCGAGTTAATTTTATTTCCCCATTCAGACAGACTGCCCAAACATACGTTTCAAAGAAACTACTTGCCTTAACGGGAATTTGATATACATTAGATTAGTCAGTACTAAAGCCAAATCTCGAGCTAATCTAACAAAGCAACTTACAATAACGGTCCAAAAATTAGTAGCCCAAATTTATATGAAAAAATCTAGAAAAAAATAAATAAATAAATAATAACTAAAATAATTAAATTGTTGAAATTTTGTAATTGATTTATTTTTGTATGAATTTAAATGTATTACCTTTTTATTTCTAAATATGTTCTGTGACTAAAATGTTATTTAATAGATATATCTGTTTATTAATTTGTTTTGTTCAAATGCACCAAAATATATTACCTAAATTGACTGAGAAATTGATCAAATATTCATTTTCAAAATGGGGTGTACTCAATTATATATTTATTCTTTCATTCATTCATTTTCCTTTCGGCTTATTCTTATTATTTAAGGGTCACCACAGCGGAATGAACCACAAAATAAGCGGATGCCCTTTCAGCTGCAACCCATCACTGGGAAATACCCGTGTACTCCCACAGTCTCACACATACACTACGGCCAATTTAGCTTATTCAATTCACCTATAGCGCATGTCTTTGTACTTGTGGGAAGGAGGAAACCCACGCGAATACGGAAAGAACATGCCAACTTCACACAGAGATGCCAACTGACCTAGCCCCTGATATATTTATTTACATTTTTGTTATTCTTTTGCATTTTATTTATTTAGTCAAAAATACAATGGAAAATGTTACTATTTGAAACTAATCCAGTTTTCAGTGTTAAATGGTACTTCAAATAATATAATTCTGATTTGCCTTTCAAGAAATATAATAACAATAATATTAGCATTGTACGAAATTTGTGGTCATGTTTAATTTTTAATATTAGAGTTAAATATAGATCATCTATTTATCAGCTATTTATCAAGTTAAATATAAAATAATTTATTTGGGATTTGAGTATATTTTATCTTTCATCTACATAATGCATGTTTAACGAATAAGAGTATTGATTTTAATTAGATGAACTATTTTCTCAAGCAAGATGTGTAAGACAAGGGGAAAACAAACAAACAAACAAACAAACTTACATAAAAAAATGCTTTTATAATTTTTCTTTCCTATGGGAGCTTGACTCAAGGCAGTAGCACAAAATGTACGTTGCATATCCAATTATGTGCCAATTGGAACTCATATATCCATATAAATCTAACTTCTATGCTGATGCCATCTTATATAATCTTTGTTTCTGCGGTTATTAAAGAGCAAGAATAAACGGATGATTAAAATGGCTCATTTCTGCTTCTTTTAGAGAACGCAGCCAGATGAAGTCAAAGATGAATAATGCAGATGTGTCTGGGGAAGGGGGTGTGGGGTGAAAACAGTTTGCTGTAATTGGCAGAATGGCCTGTGTTTATTAAATAGCGAGCTAGGCTGAATATAAAGCTGAAATGTGGGTAGGCTAATCTAGCGCACGCATGAATGAGGCCGGACCCGGAGGGATATCAAAGCCAGTGTTTACCCATATTCTGAACATCCTCATCTTAAGTCTCCTTCTCTCGTCTCTAATCTCCATTCTACATTCTCAGACGAGCACAACAACCAATAACGCTTCAGCCAGGCGTGACGGTTTGTTGTTTCCCTGAGTGAGTTTGTTCATTCACGTTTCACATTTATTCACATTGTCGGCCCATCTCTCTTCCGTTTAAGCTGGTAAGTGGCCTTGCACGTCTGGCTAAGGTTGATTAACTAACAATCTCATTCCAAGGGCAGACAAAAACCTTGGGTTTGCGTCCACGAGAATTGTTATTGGTGGAAATCAGTGGTACATTCAGCAAACTAAATGTTTTTTTTTTTTTTTTTTGCATTGGTACTTATAAAGTCTCTGTGAGATCTGAATTTACAGTGTTTATTTTGCCAGCAAACTTTGTTATTCCTCAGGTTAATCAATGCAAGTTAATTCACTGAAAAAAAAAAGTTTGTTTTGGTAATGAAAGTCAAATTAAAATCTCTGTTGATGTCAGGATTCAACCCCAATAGTCTTAACAACATCCTCTTACCATTAATTTATTAAGAAGGGATGACTTGCCAAAATAAATCCCCCTCCTATTCAATATTCAGTTTCAGTTGGAAATACAGTACATCAACATACTGAAATAATTCTCCTCCACTTCTGACTCTTGCGGACTTTAAATTCGAATTGTACACCATTCTCTGCCTTTCAGACATAAAATTATGTGAGAAGGTTATGGACTGAGCCAAACGGACTAACTGCCTTTGTAATTTAAGCTCTTCTGAAAGGAGATGCATGTTGATGGTGGGGTTTGGACTGTGATGTGCGTCTCGGAGCAGGTGATTTATGGTGTGTCCTCTCAGCTTTTGCAGCGGGGCATTGCTACGAGCCATTCGTCAAGTACGGCAACTTCACCACCACTGACAGCACCTATGCTGTGGGCACGGTTGTGGAGTTCACCTGTGACCCCGGATACACTCTGGAGCAGGGCTCCGTTATCATCGAGTGCATGGATCCCAGCAACCCTCAGTGGAACGAGACTGAGCCCACCTGCAGAGGTGCGTCTGTGTGAATGTTTGAATATGCATGCGAGCTGGGGTTAGGACAAATTTAGGTTACACTTTATTTTGATGGTGCTTTTGTTGAATTTAAGTTGCATTTTATCTGCAGCTAATTCTCATTAGATGATTGGGGTTAGGGTAAGTTGGCATGTACTTGCAAAGTTTCTTATAGTCAGTTAAATGGCTGTTGAAGAAGCAGTATCAACAGATATTAAGCAGACAGTGGACCATCAAAATAAAGTGTTACCCAAATTTAGAATTAAATCTCCTTCAGTTGAATCTGAAATGCCTTTTAAACCTTTAAACTTAAAATAAATCTATATTTTAAATAAAGCTGCATGATTCTGGGTAAATTGAGAATTTCTTTTTTGGTTACAGTATGACCATGATTCTTCTATTATTATAAATAGACAGCTAAACAAAATACCATAATTTACTATGTTATGTAACATTGCTAAAATCTGTTTGAAAAGATTGAATTTATTGGTCACACTTTGCAATTGAGTTTCAATAGTGATATTTCCTGACATAATGAACAATACTCATATACTCAATACTCAATAATCAGTTTATTCATTTATTGTTAAAATCCAAATTCATGCTTGTTGACATTAGTTAATGCACTGTGAGTTAACATGAACTAACAAGGAACACATTTATTTTTATTGACTAATATTAACAAAGATTAATAAATACTGTAATAAATGCATTGCTTGCTGTTTTTCATGTTAAGAAATACATTAAATGACATTAACTAATACAACCGTATTATAAATTGTTTCTCATTTTTGAAAGATCTGTTTGAGTGACTCAGAACAAAAGCTATTGAAATAATGATTCAGTGACCCACTTGTATGACAGCAGTTGTATTACCAAAATAATTAGCTCTTTTGAACATATTAAATGAGTAATTCAGTGACTCAACAGCATTTTATAACAATTCTCTTGAACAGTAATTCAATGCCAAATATAGTTAAACGTCCTTTATTCATTTATCGATTCAAATATTTATAATTTCTGAGAGACAGCGCATCGGCAGCCATCAGCCAGTCTTTGAGCAAAGACGGTTGACGGTGTTCATTATCCACAAGATGGCTACAGAGACCGTATAATAATAAGCCCTAAGAGAAAAACAGTATAATTTCTAACTACAGCTGATCAAATCATATTAAACAGGTAAATGAGTTTCCAAGTCGATCTCTCTCTCTCTCTTTTGCATGTTGTAGTGCTGTGTTAATACCATAGTAATATCGTGATCTTCTGATTGCAACAGAGAAATACTGGGAGATCTTTGTAGACTATAAGATGGCATTTCAGGTAATTAAATAATGTTAAAACGTATTATTGTCATTATTGTTGTTGTTTAAAAATTATTATTTTAGTTAGAATTAAGTTGTTGTATTAATATTAATATTTATAATAATTATAATAAAAGTATGAATTATTGGTGTTGTTGCTTGTTATTATTCATTTAATGTTTTATTTAAGAACAAATCACAATAAACTGACTTCATCCAGCTTAGTCTCTGCTTTAATTTCATAATAACAGTAAATAATATTAAGTCATTATTGTTTTTATTAAATATTTATTGACCTGACAAAGGATATTAACAAATTAATTATAAATAGTTAAAAGGGTTTACCCAATTAAGATAATATGCTTAATCTACTGAGAGCTAAAACTACACACACTCAAGTAAAAAACACTGTCATGCACAGCTGATTCTAGAGTTCTCTTTTCTCTGTTGACACGTGAGTGTATATGCGTAGGCCATACATTTGTATATATGTGCGTCTATTCTGCATCTGCTGAAGAGCTCAACAGGCAGCATGTGCAGGTACAGCACAAGCGTCACCCATCCTTTTAGTGCCTCTTCTATGTAATCCACTACATCCTGTGTCACCTGGATGAGTTTCAGACACTCTTAGCCACAGACACAAGCCTAAAGCACCACTAAAAGCATTAAGCCATGGAGGCCAGAAGCAGGAGCACAAGAACGAGAAAAAACCTTGAATCCAACCCTCACACACATACACACACACACACACACACACACATGGTGCGTCTTATCTGACCCCCTGCTCAAGTGCATTTCTCCAGCTACACAATAGAGTTTGGATTGAAAGGATTTAATCGTACTGGCTTTAGCAGAGGGTCAAGACAACAGCTTTCCATTTGAATATGTGCTTACGTCCAGCTAAGCCAGTGTAGTGATTGAGTGAAAAGGAGGAAATGAAAACAGAAAAGCGAAAGTTGTTTATTAATCTGACCTGAATTTTCTACTTACACTCCAATGGTGAGATTAATCCAGAGCTTGACCTACCAGTCTCCTGTGTAACAAATTTAGAAAATCTCTTTAAAGGACAAAAGCTATTGGAATGACAAAAACTTACAGCAAATTTGCTTAAAGATGATAAATGGTCATTTTAATACAATAAGTTGCCAATAAAATATTGCTAAAGTAACTATACGGTACATATTCTATAATTTGAAGTTATAAAAACTATTTAGAGGTATTAAAAAAGCTCATAAACTAGAAATAAATTCAAAATTATGCAAAGCTGAAAAAGCTACTAAAATTTAATTAATTTACAATAAATTTGCTAAAGAAATACAAAAGTGCAATCTAAAGTCAACAGGTTGCAAAAATGTCACTGATGTAAATAATTTGATAATACACTAATGTTTGCTTTTATTTAAAAGAAACGTATGTTGATTTATTTTAAAACTCTAATAATCTGCATAAAATACATTAAAACACAAAATAAGCAAAGCTTAAAAGTTACAATAATATTATTGTTACAATACATTTGCTAAAGAAATGCTAAATTGTACCATTAAGTCATCAAGTTGTCAGAATATTACTTAAGTACAGATTGCAAAAAAAAAATATGATACTGATTGCATTAACTTAAACAAATAAAGGTATTTAAAAACATAATAAAATGAAAACAAAACATATGAACACAAAAATAAACAAAGCTGACAAAGTTAACATTCATACTATTAAACTATCAATGTTAGTATATTTTTTCCAAATAATACTAATACACTATAAAAATTGTAATGACATAATTCGACAACAAATATGTTATGTTACTTTAACTTATTTTAAATAGTTAATCAGGTTTCAACTACATTTTTAAGCTCAACTTGATATCTTTAGTTAGTTTAATTGATGCATGTTGAGAGGACTAAAAAGTTAATTTGATTTAACTCAAAAATTTAAGGCAGCAAGAATTTTTTTACAGTGTAATTATTCAAATGTCAAAATGCATATACAGTTGAAGTCAGAATTATTAGCCCCCCTTTGAATTTTGTTTTCTTTTTTTAAATATGTGCCAAATGATGTTTAACAGAGCAAGGAAATTTTCACAGTATGTCTGATAATGTTTTTTCTTGTGGAGAAAGTCTTATTTGTTTTATTTTGGCTTGAATAAGAGCAGTTTTACATTATTTTGGCTTTAATAACAGCAGTTTTACATTTTTTAAAAACTGTTTTGAGGTCAAAATTATTAAGTTAAGCTATATTTTTTTCTGATTGTCTGCAGAACAAACCATTGATATGAAATGATTTGCCTAATTACTCTAACCTGCCTAGTTAACCTAATTAACCTAGCTAAGGCTTTTAAGGTTGATTTAAGCTAAATACTTGCGTCTTAAAAATATCTAGTCAAATAGTATTTACTGTCATCATGGCAAAGATAAAATAAATCAGTTATTAGAAATGAGTTATTAAAACTATTATGTTTAGAAATGTCTTGAAAAAATCTTCTCTCTATTAAACAGAAAATGGAGGGAAAATAAACAGGGGGGCTAATAATTCAGGGGGCTAATAACTGTTTGTATTATTTAAATTATAAGTATGTCTTTTAAAGTGGGGTAAATTTGTGTTTATTAGTGACCTCTGTTTTTCTCTGTGTTTGTTTGTATTGCAGCTGTTTGCAGTGGTGAGATCACAGATTCAGCTGGGATGGTCTTGTCTCCAAACTGGCCTGAGGCCTATGATAAGGGTCAGGACTGCATCTGGGGCATCCATGTTGAGGAGGACAAAAGGATCATGCTGGACATCCAAGTGTATGTATAAATTAATTACTTTATCTATAGATTATTCTTTTAGGACTCAGACAAAAATCAACACACACATTCTCATGACATATCTGTAACTACCAGACAAGATCTTCATTACATTTCTGCTGTACATGCAAGTTTCTTGTGGTTTTAGTGTCTCAAAGTGGTTTTATTCACATTACATAGTTGCATCTGCTCTGGGTCACTAATAATGTGAAAACAGAAATGGGGCAGACATGTACTTAAAATGGCTTTCCTCTAAAATGTCCTAAAATCCTAAAATTATGATGGGTTAACTTAGTAAAATAGCCATAATTAAAAGTTCTTAATATATTTATTTAATATTATTTAATGTATTTTTCATTTAATAGTTTCACTAATAATAATAATAGTAATAATTAAAATAATAATAATAATAATAATAATAATAATAATTGTTATTGTGTTACTATTATATTATTATAATTAATTTTATTAATGTGTTGTTGTTATTATTATTATATTATTATTATTAGTAGTAGTAGTAATATTATTATTACTGTTATTATTGTTGTTGTGTTATTATTATTAATAATGTGTTAGTAATATTATTATTATTATTACTATTATTATTATTGTTGTGTTATTATTGTACTATTATTAATATTATTATTATTATTATTATTAATGTGTTGTCATTATTATTAATGTGTTATTATTATTATTATTATTATTATTATTATTATTTCATCCATATATACTTTTAATCAATTATCTGCTGTTGCCCTACTCCACATATCTGACCAAGGTGTCCTGAAGTGCTTACATTCCTCCAAAAACAAAAACAAAAATTCCAGTGTTTGGCCTCTCCAGAGTTTTAGTTTTTTCCAGAGTTTCTTTCTCAGCTTTTAATGCATCACCTCAAGAGACTGCAACTGCATCTGCTGCATCCTTTCCTCACAGCGAGCGAAGTGTGAATCAAATCCGCTGTGGCTTCATCAAGCCCTTCCTGCGCACACACTCCCTGCGCACCCGTCGCTCTTTAACTCCAGACGTCTACAGCCTCAAACGCGCATCTCCATGGGGCCGCGCTTTGTCCTTGATGTGGCTGAGATTGCAGCGCCGTTACGAACCCAGCTACTTTGCGTCATTCTCTCCCCACTGACCCATTCAGCTCCATTCTGTTTCTCTCTCACCAATCAGTCCAAACACCCATCATACACACCGCTCTGGGCATTTCTGTTGTACTCAAAGACCTCAGTTGACTTTTCTGAAGATCTTCCAAAGCATACATCTTTAAAGCGCTGACACAACAATGCAGCTCTCTTTCAGATTCTCCCTAAACTCTTTCAGAATTAACCCACAGAACTGTTTGGATTTCTCCGTGTTGCATCAATAATTGCTGTGATCTTCATTGGTGGCTCCTGCTGTCAGCCAAGTTCTCGGAGGCTTATGCTGAATTTAAGTGAGGGTTCATGGGAGAGGTTGAGTGTGTTTGTAAATTGCGGTTAACATCGCATCAGGTTTACTCAGTTCGCGCTCCCTGCCAAATCCCGGGCAGTCAAACTGCGCTGGCAGAGAGATCGAAAGATGGCAAGTGAGAGAGAGTTATTTTCTCTGCAGTTTCTTGTGGGGGGAAAAAGATTCAGACTGCTTGGAGCTTTAAACAAGATGAACATACCTTTCTCCTACTGGGAGAAATACTTTAAATGATGGGTTTCAGAATCTGGTGAGCTCCCTATAAAAAGCCACATTATTTTAAAGGGTTAGTTCACCCCAAAATGAAAAGTCTGTTATCAATTACTCACTTTTATTTTGTTCCAATGCTGAGAATTTTGTTCATCTTTAGAGCACAAATTAGGATATTTTAGATCAGGGGTGTCCAACTCACTTCCTGGAGGGCTGCTGCCCTACACAGTTTAGTTCCAGCCCTGCTTCAACACACTTGCCTGTAGGTTTCAAACAAGCCTGAATGACTCAATTAGTTTGATCAGATGTGTTTGATAAGGGTTGAAACTAAACTGTACAGAGCTGTGGCCCTCAGGAACTGAGTTTGACATCCCTGTTTTAGATTAAATAAAAGAGCTCTCTTATCCTCCATCAGCCTCATTCACACTACGAGCGACTTACAGCGGTAAAATAACAAACAACCGTTTATTTCAATGGAGACTTCTGGCGACCTCCAACTAAACAAACGACAGCGACTGTTGGCGACCAGGTGGACGTGTCAAGCGACATGACAAAGTTGAGAATCCTTCAATTTTATGCAAATGAAAAGCGACTTTTTTTTGAGTGGCAGCCAATAGGAGAACCAGTAGAACTCATGTGATCCTCTCTCAGCTGTATTCTCTGTGATGTAGAACTACACAGACCTGCGTTTGTAGCAGGTTGCCACCCAGAGCAACAGGCAGCTACGAGGTCACTGCTAGTGTGAATGAGGCAATATACAGCAACGATCCGGAGATGAGTCCAGAAAAGGAACTAAAAACATCAAAACTTTTTTATTTGACTCTAAAAACACCTTTGGGCACAAAAACGGTAAAAACACCTTTATTTGCCAACAGAGTATGGTGCACATTTTTTTTGTGCATTTTATTGCCCATAGTAAGTGCAGTAACATGCAGGAGAGAAAACATAGCTAAGCAAAGTTATTCATTCATTCATTTTCTTTTTGGCTTAGTCCCTTTATTAATCTGGGGTTGCCACAGTGGAATGAACCGCCAACTTATCCAGCATATGTTTTGCGTAGTGGATGCCCTTTCAGCTACAACCCATCACTGGGAAACATTCATACAGACTCATTCACACACATACTCTATGAAAAATTTAGCAAATCCAAATCCAATACCACATGTTTTTGGGCTGTGGGGGAAACCGAAGCACTCGGAGGAAACCCACGCGTACACAGGGAGAACATGCAAACTCCACACAAAAATGCTAACTGACTCAGCCGAGGCTCGTACCAGTGACCTTCTTGCTGTGAGGTGAACGTGCTACACATAAATGTTTATTTATTTATTTATTTATTTATTTATTTATTTATTTATTTATTCATTTATTTATTTATTTATTTTGTTTTATTTTGTTTTATTTGTTTGTTTGTTTATTTATTTTATTGTTTGTTTGTTTGTTCGTTTATTTTATTTTTGTATATACAGGGACAATGTAAAACATTGCATGTTATGCCAGTTACTAATAAAGCTAACTTACATCTGTAGTCTCTGGGCAGGATGTTGTAACAAAATGTACAATATTAAATTAAAAAACAGTTCAATACACACTTACTGTACATACATAGAATTTGTCATAGTCAATAATTACAATCAAATCAGTGATTACATGTTTTGTACATGTGAGTACATGAGTTTCCTTAAGCCACAATTTAAGCACAATTTTAAAAGTATGAAAAGTGCTACTCTATTTATAATTTTGGCGATTCATAAAATGCAAGTCAATGACTGATAAGCCTAAAACATATACAGTTGAGAATTATTTAGTCTCCTGATGATATATTTAGTTTTGTAATCAAAATGGTTAAAGAGACAGAATTAATATTTTTTATAACATTATTGCTTTTAATCCACTGCCTTAGCGAACAGTCTGTTTTAAAATACAAGTTTCACAACCAGTGTTTTTACTTATCAAGACAAATTAATGGAATAAATGAACGTCAATAACAATAGCAATAATTATGTAGCATTACATTCAATTTCAGCTCATTATTTATCACATAAATGCTTAATTGTCTAGCAGATTGCCCATTGCAATGAAATTGCGACACTGCTTGTGTGCTTTTTGCTCTGTCCAGTATTTTACACATCCTTAGAAACATTTATAAATGAAGAGACTTGATCCAAAAACCTCTAAAAGACGTTTGATGTTTTCTTTTTTTAAAACTGGCATTTTTTCTGACTGTGTATAGGCACAGTGACAAATAAGATCTTTTCATTGCCTTTAAAGTGAAATAACTGAATATAAACACAGGAGAATAAGAAAAATGCTAATTTTAGTAAAATATTTCAGACAGCATTTAGAGGTTTTTGCATCTAAAATAAAAATAGGTTTAATTCATTTCATTTAAATAAAGTATCTAAAAAATTAATTTAATAATTCATGTTTTTATCAGTCTTTCACAAATTTGGGTTTGGTAAGATTGTCTTATTCTTTTTTTCTTGTTCCTCTTTTTAACATTAATTTCGCATATCAAGATTTTTACAAAAATGCTGGAAAAAAAATGTCAAAGCCACTTCACTGCCACTAATCTGCAACATTTTGAATCCATTTTATAAATGCTATTAATATAAACATACTATTAAACTCATACACTGCTTTACCATACAACATTCAAGCTATTTGTCTGGTTGACTGAATCTGCTGTGCTTCATTTAGGAAGCCTATGCAGGCAGTAGTAATATCTCTGAGATTTGGAACAGAGTCTGGAGTGTGCTGTGAAAAAAATCAGAGAACAGGGAGTTGGAAATAAAAACAAGGGCAGATGAAGGGGCATGTCATGCATAAAGAGGATGCAGAAGTGGGATGCACATCGCACAAAGGTTAATAACAAACTCAACAGAACAACAATTATTTTATTTGGTGTTTTTATGAATGTGAAATCAATTATGTGAGCCGGGAAACAAGTGTTGAGTGTGATTGTGCCGTCAGGTGAGGTGCAGAACACGAGGCCCTGTTGTGTCAGACCCAGATAGATTATTCATGCATTCAATAATTTGGCTGCCTTAATTAAGATTCACTCATTTGCATATGGTTCCTTTCGCATTTGTCATGTTTTCTCTCTCCCTCTCCCTCTCTCTCTCTTATTGCGAGTGTCCCGACTGTAGCGCTACATTGTGGGATTGTGTAATGAATGACATCCTGGATGTTTTTTGCTGGAGCTACAGTCAACATAATTAATTTCCCATTTATTTTTTTGGTGGAGATAATGGAGGGAGATGGCGAGTTTTTTCTCTTTTTTCTGCTGGTGCATGAGGTCCAGATGTCTACAGACAGTTGTGCTTGTGTGCAAAATA